TCAGAAGTTGAGGATTACAGTCAGAAATATCTTCACAATTTAACTGCACAAACAAAAAAATTATTTTTCAATACACATGAAACATACATTTTGCAAGACAGTGTTTTAGATAAGTAAATAGCTAAAATATAGGTATAATTATCTAAAAATTGTGTACTGTATTAAAATAATCATAAAGCAAATCATTAATGTTATCTTCAGTTAGTCTCATCTCTTCTCTACAGATATATGATCTAATAGAGGGTTTTAAATTATTATCATGCCAACTGATCCCTGTCAAGATCACTTGCTTCTATTATCTACTATTGTGGCATGTAACTTTTATTTTTACAATTATATTTAATAAATTCTTAGCTGCCATTTCAGCTGCAAGAAGAGACAATATTTTATTGCTTAATTTTAAATGCTTGAGTAAAACTTATTTTTAAAGCTGCATTAGGTTTATTTCATGTGTTCGATCTTGCCATGCTACTATTTGAACAAGAATATTCTCTTCTACAAACACAATACTAGCTCTATTATTTTTTAACATGTGGTTAGTAGTATTAAACAATGATTTTCAAAACATCTGGTTTTTATTTATTCACAGGAAAAGTCTGCTTTAGATGGAGCTGCCTTGCTCCGTAGCAAAATCACAGAATATGCATAGAAAACCTCTTTCTTCTGGAGTTAGCAGTATTTTGTTTGAACTCTGTCTGGATCGTCATTGCAGAAGTGATCAGAATACGTTTTTTTTAATGAACTTACATTGAGCTCATACACAGTTTGAGGCTCTGCTTGATTCAGCTCCTGCTTAAAGTGTTGGTGACTGCCATGGCTAGTGGGGGCCTTTTGCCCAGATTTTTCTTGCTTGCCAGTTTTGCTTTTTCAGGAGACATTGCTCATGGTCACCCATTCCTTAGTCACTTCCAGTTCGGAATATTTGCAGATAATTTTACATATGGTTGCTCATTTGGAAACTACACCTGGTCCAGAACACAGTGGCTTGTGCAAAACTGAGAATTCCTAAGTTTCCCCATGTTACACCTGTATTGTGAATTTCACTGGCTTCCAGTTTCTTCTAGGTGCAATTCAGGGTACTGTTTTTCACATTTAAAGCCTTACATAGCATAGGACCAGTTTATTTACTGGACCCCCTGAATCTGAGAATGTCTACCCATCCTACTAAATTAGATAGGATAGGCACACTTTTCAGATCCCTTTCCTGAATTCTTATCATCCAGCAGAGTGTCTTTTCCATGTCTTTTCCGGAGTGTCTTTACATTATGGAACACCTGCCTCCTGGTGATTTTAAAGCACCTTCCCCCCTCTCCTCTTTTTAGGCTTTTGGAAGGTTATCAAGACCTGGCTTTTTATCCTGTGGCTGCAATAGTATAAGGGTATCTGGAAGTAGTTGTGGAGCATCACACGGGGATGGTTGAGTTGTTGGGTTTGTCATTTTATGGTTTTAGATTTTATAAGCATTGCATTATAATTTGTTTATCATTTATAAATAAACCTATTTTACTCTTGTGAGCCACCCAAAGTTGTTTTTAAGATGGGTAGCTATACAGGTCTTTTACATAAATAGATAAATCTTCAATAAATATGTCTCAAGGTTTTAAAGCAAGTGGAAGTAGAATAGTATCACCACACAAAGCATGATTATAATAGCCCCGTGATTCTTCTGGTATTAACCAAGAATCCACTGAGAGATAGGTTGGAGTAATCTAGCAGATGTAAAGATGATGGTGACCAATTTTCAAGAGAAAATACTATTTTAAGATACTACTGAATTAATCATGTTGAAGCCAACAATGAAGATGTCTTTAAGTTATATTCAGAATGCATTTCATCTTGAATCAAAAAAATAATTTTAATCATGCATGACTTGGTTTGTTTGAGATGGTACAGTTTTAATATATTTTCCAGGGCAGCCCCACCCATTGAACCTTCTAAAAACTGAAGTCCTGGTTTAGCAACAACTTGGTTAAGTGAAGCAGTCCCTACATGAAAGTGCAACTTGCTCGTGAATGATCTTACTTAAGCTTTCCCGTGCTTTACAGACCTGCAAAATGCAAAGATAGGTGGCATAGTTACTTTTTCATCACTGTTGTAACTGCGAATGATCTTTGTACAAGACAAGCTAAATGAAGTCTATCTATACTGAATTTCACTAATAGACTAGAACCAGTTGCACAGTATAGAAGTGTGTTTCTAAATTATATATTAAAATTGACAGCTAAGTTGCAAATTCATATAACAAAACTAAACATAATGAAATCTATGTTGTACAGGTAATCACAAAGCTTGGTAGGGGCAGACACTTTCCTCCGAAACTCTGTTCCTACTGGCAAAGGAAATGTAAGAAAACATATGAATGACCCCACAAAAAAGGTGCCAGGCTTTGAATTATCATGTCAGCAATGGATATCACGTGATATCTGCCGGGTTTGTCTCTAAAAATGGGGCATAGTATCCTCCCCTTAGTGTGACTGTGGGGTCCCACATCAAACTGTAAATCACATAGTGACTGGCTTTAAACTGAGGGCATATACTAGTCCAGTATCTTTAAAATATATATATATAAACGATACTGTGTTTCAATGGCTAGATGGCCTAGACATTGGTATTTGAACATAGATCTTTTTAACATTTACATTTTATTGTGTTATGTTATGTATATGTTTTTTAAAATATTGGTTAATATTTTAAGGTATTTTAGGTTATTTATATATTTTTCATATTTCTGAACCACCCATCTCCTTCAAAGAGAAATTATTTAAACTTAGAGAGGTGGTTGCATTTTATAATTGTCTCCATACTAAAAAAAGTTGGAGGTCACTTTTTGTATATATTTGTTTTATGGGTTTTTTTGTTACTTTACTTTTTCTCCTTTATTCCCTTCCCCCTTTCACCTGTAGATTAGTTTGTATTTTATTTTATTTATTTTATTTTGAAATTTAGTAAAGGTATACACACACATACACACAAAACACACACAAAAACCCAAACAAGCACATAGACACACACACAGTTATATAGCTCATGAAAATATATTTGGTATACATATATAGAATGAGATATCAGCTACTTAAAATGAAAATTGTTTAACAATAATGTGCATAAACACAGCTGTTCAGCAATTCAATTCCATTTCTGGCTAGATCTGTCTGTCTGTCTATTTATCTATCTCTTTAATTTGTTTCTCATCGTTACCAAATAGGTTAAAACATTTCACCAGTATATGAATTACTGCTATTGTTGGATTTTAGGTTTTGGGTTTATCATTCCTTTAAAGAATAAAGTAATCAGAGCAAATTTTGCATATGTGATACATTTATGCAGTTTCATTTCCATGCATTTATAAGATAATTGATTTATATAATTCACTGATAAACTTAACATTATGTAGGAATGCTGAATTTGTAGAAAGGAATCACTTTTGCTATACTATATGCACTCCATGAGTATTTCTGACTGACATGAATAACACTGAATATTATTTTTTCAAAATAACGATCCTCAAATGATGAAAAAAAATAGGTCGAAGTTATGTAGTAACAATATGCCCTTGTATGAAATACTCATCTATTATAACCATACAATTCCTGCTACTTAGTGTGATCTGTTAAATCTAAAGAATATACAATATTATAAGGCAAAGAATTCTGTATTATCAACAACATCTCCATTATGACATCCTCTTTAATAGGAGTAGGCAAACAGATTATTTATGGCAATGCCATATATTCATGTTAAAATTTTGTCATGAAAACATACCAGGAACAAATATTTTAAATAACTAAATTCAGAACAAATAAATATATTTTAAGCATACTAAAAATAATGTGATCATTACAATCATTGAAATACTTGGTTTGAAAATTGAAAATTAAATTTCCATCTGATTTTAAAGCATCCAAGATTTTAGTGTTTCTTTATTGTCATCTTCTCTTTGAAGCCACTTTATAGATGTTAATTTCATTTCTGAGTGGTCTGTTGCAAAAGTATTAACAGAGTTCTACTTTAGAAAAATAGAAAGCCAAGTATTTTGTAAACATTATGCATGGTAAGCATAAGGAGAGGGAGATAATATACTGCTAATTCAAATAGGACATCAAGAGGAAATGTGATGTATTTTTGTTATTATATTTTTATATATGTTGTTATTATATTTTTGTTATGTTTTGTTATGTGATGTATTTCCAATATGAGTATGTGAATAACAATATATTAAGTTATATCTGTCTATAGTTGCTTATGATTAAAGATGAAAACTTTCTCAAGAACTGATTTCCACTAATACACTACTATAGTTTACATTTCTGTCACCTTAAGAATTTTATTTTATCTTATCTTTTATGTCTTTAATGAGTTGGCAATAATATTGAAAAGTGACATTAATAATTAATTTAAAAACATTTTGCATCCTTAATTTGTCCACTGAAGAGCCATTTCCCCTCCTCCAACATTTTAAAGATAAGATCATGACTTGCCCAAGATACGTTGCCCAACATCCAAAGATAGTTGTTCATCAATGATTATAATCTTGTTTTCTCTTTATAGAAGCTTAGGGTTATGTCCTAAGAGTAAGGCATCCTAGTTATTCATGATGGCAATAAATATATTAATACTTGGTATATAACACGACTTCTTTCCATCAAAGAATGTCAAATATTTATTATTTATATATTAAATAAATGTATATGGCCATCCCATACATTTTGACTCTAGATAGCATACAACCTTAAAAATATGTATGCCATTAGTAACATTTTTCTTTTTAGTCATCATCATATAATTTATTGTATACTTTCATGCATTTGTCAACATTTAAGGTTGTTTGAGATTACTAATAAAGAGTATACAATTGTTTACAGTGATTGCCAAAATTAATTAGTATGATTGAAACAAAATATAATTGTTTCTTGATTCTGTATTTCAAATTGCCTCATTGTACATTCATGTTTAAACATTCACAAGTACATCTTCATTGCCATTTCTAATTCTTTCAACAGGTAGAGAGAATTGTTGATAAAAGAAAAAACAAGAAAGGAAAAACCGAATATTTAGTGCGATGGAAAGGATATGAGAGTGAAGATGACACATGGGAACCTGAACAGCACCTTGTGAATTGTGAAGAATATATACATGAATTTAACAGGCATCACAATGAAAAACAAAAAGAAAGCACATTAACAAGGACAAACAGGACATCTCCAAATAATGCAAGAAAACAAATTTCTCGATCTACTAATAGTTCTTTTTCAAAAACATCCAAGTCCTTAGTTATTGGAAAAGACCACGAATCAAAAAATCAACTGTTTGCTGCCCAGAAGTTTCGGAAAAACAACACTCCTCTCTCTGGTAGAAAAAACATGGACCTTTCAAAATCAGGTATCAAAATTCTTGTGCCCAAAAGTCCTATCAAGAGTCGGCCAGTAGTAGATGGCTTTCAGAATGAAAGTCCTGATAAGCTGGATCGCATTGAGCAGGATCATGAAGATTCTGTAGCCCCAGAGGTGGCAGCAGAAAAACCAGTTGGAGCTTTATTAGGTCCTGGAGAAGAACGTGCTAGAATGGGGAGCAGGCCAAGAATACATTCATTAGTGCCACAGTTGCCGGTGCCAGTAACAGCTACCATTGCATCTGCATTAACAATAAATGGAAAAGGTAAGATAAATGGATGGATAGGTTTTCCAGCAAATTTTGTAGCTATTCATTCACATGAATAACTTTTTTAATGCTTTGGAAATTGTCTTGTCATCCAATTTGTTCCAGGAACAAATATGCAATACATATTTTTTTTTTACTTTGACTGGTTCTCAATTTTTATTAAGAAAATTTATAAGGCCACCCAAATCACTCTTGGTGATTCCGGGCGGATTACAAGGATAAAACCACAGTAGAAAAACCTATAACCCACTACTTAAACTTGTTGGGCTCCTTATTATTCTGGGGTCCCCATTGACAGACTCACATCTTCAGGGCCTTGCAAAAGAGTGTCAGAGTGGGAGCCAATCTTATGATAAAACTCTCAACAAAATTTTGTTAGTTTACACTTTTCTGAGAAGCATATTGTGATTGATTTTTTTAAAAAGACATGTTTTATCAGGGTCTTGAATTTACCAATCATTAATTGCTTGAAGCTATTTGTTTCATAGATTTTAGAAATAAATGGTGAAGTTCATTAAGATGTTGATAGGGAATAAGTATATTCTGCTGTTTTCCCTTTTGGACAAGTGCATTTATTTACTTTGTGAATTATTGGTATATTGCTGTTTTTCTTTATTGACATGTTGTGTTCAGTTAGGCAGAAAATCATCTTTGAGGGAATATGAGAAGTTTTACAGGAAAAGAAGGGAGTAAAATTATCTGACATTAGATGTGGACATCTGCATAAAATATGTATTTGTTATAATTCATTATCAGGTCTTCACTCTCTTACCAATATTTTATAATTCTATTGAACACACAGATTTCTTTCTTTTTTCTGTCTTTTTATAAAGTATTTGAAATATTACAGTGTAGATGTTGAACTGGAATTGTATACAAAGGCCTTAATTTATATGGGAAGTTTCAATGTAGTACAGAGCTTTTGATCAAGTTTCTTCGACTGTTTCTAGAACTGTACTACTTTGCTCCTCCATCATTCTGTTTAGCCCTGGCTTTCTCATGAAGTAGGCGCTAAATGGAAGTTAAGGTTACCCTCGTATGTTTGTTTATCGGAATAAGCCCCAATGAGGAGACTAAAACTCACTACTAAAGGAGGTGCATAGTATCTTGTTTGAATTAGTTATTTTCTAGATTACTAGTTTTATTTTTTGGGATTCATCATGAATGATTTTGCTTTCTGATTTGACAGGGTTTTTTTCCTCCAGTTTAAACTATGTTTTTATAATGAATATGAAAACTGAGGGGTCCTTGGTATTCTCTGAGCTTTTTTGTTTACTTGCCGACATTTCATTACCTTTAACTAGGTAACATCATCAGTGCTAGTAGTGCTGTTTGCTGTCAGTTTATTGTGATGACCCGGGTCGTGGCATAAAGGCAATACAGTCAGATAATCAGTAGGAGTACCTTTATTAGCTCCAACTTTGCCCCCAATGTCCTAGTTACCTTCTGGCTGGAGAAGAACTTTCCCAGGAACAGCCTTTGACTGCATAGAATCAAGTCCAAAATATGGACAACAAAAACTGCAACTATAAGTCCAATCAAGGCAAAATGAGGTAATTAGTTCGGCAGAGCAGGAGCAAGAATTCCAGGGGTGAAGGCACAGCAATAACTCAACACAGTTGGGAAAACTCATGTTTGCTCCCAGCAGCTGCCTCACTCAGCATGTATTTCTTTTAAACTCTCTTCCCAGCTGTAGCTAATGAAGGGAATCAGGGCCCTTTCCTCCCCCGTAAGCCACGCAAACCATGTTGCTCTCTTCTCCGTTCCTTCCTGCATTCCCCAGGATGAAGAGGGGATGGGTCTGGCTCTTCCTCTGAACTCCCTCTCCCTTGTTCTTCCTCTCCCTTGTTCTGCCCAGCCAGACTTTGCCCTTCCCCAGTTTCCTCTACAGCCGTCGGAGCCACACTCCCAGTCCCTATCAGCTGTTCGTCTTCCTCCTCGTATTCAGACTCCCAACAGGGGCATGACAGTGTATATTCTAGAGACTTGTCTGTCTGTGTGGGTGAGGGCTCTTAAGTTTCTTTTGTTGGGCTGTTTACTGATGGCTCTTTGGCAGTTTCTTGATTGGTGTATTGCTTACTTGATCGTTGGTCTGAAGTTGACCTTGGAATTAATCTATGCTGCTCTGAGTGTTGATTACTGGTGGAGAGGTGCTGGAGTCTTTTTCTCTTTTGGGTTGGTTGATTGTGTCTTTTGCATAGTCTATAGCAGGGGTCACCAACCTTTTAGACCTCAGGGACCACCAAACTCATAATTTTAAATCCCGAGGACCACTAATATAAATTTTTAAAAAAATATATTTAAAATTTTTAATTTTTATATTAAATATTAAATATATATATTTAATATATATACACACATACATATGGATCTTTGGTTGTTCGGGTTTTCTCCCGCGTAAGATTCAAAGTATACTTATATATATATATATATATATATATTTG